TGAAGATATTGACCTATATACAGATATTATACAGGTATGCAAACATGTTCAAAGATATAAGAGAATATGTTAACATGGAGCCTGCACCTTCTAGATGACAATTAAGCCCTGAGTGGAAATGTCCCAGACTGACTCAGCAGCAGAAAAGAGCACTTGAGCCCAGAGTCCCGATGACAGTCCAAAAAAACAAAAGGAAGCCTTGGAGCAGACAAGCTGCTCCCATCCAGAAGGCAGGGGAAGGTGACCTGTACTGATGAATTAAAATTCAACACACTGACAGCATTCAAATGCTTTAGAAGAAAGTTCAGATGGGGGAAGAAAAAAAAATGTCTACAGAATAATAATGGACTGTTCTGCCCAAAGAGGACTTCTGTTTCTGGCAGAGAGTTGCTTAGAAAAATCTCACCTGAGAGCTTCTGAAACTCTCACCTGAACCTTGCTCCTAAGAAACGTCTTGCAACTTGCACCTCAGAGCGGTGTCTTTCCCTTTTTGGACTCAAACTGGCAGCAAGGGCAACCTCCTGGAAACTGAATCTGGGTCCTGAGATCATCATTCTGCCTGATTATAACACAGGGAATCAGATTTTGTTCTTGTGTTTTACCTTCTGCTTTCCAAGCTGTTTAATGGCATCATTGTCAAGTTTTCAAGCTTTAGTAAAACCCATAACTCGTTAGAGACTTGTCACAGAACTGTGTGATTTAGCTGCTCTCAGGAAGATTTCAGTTTCTGTATTCTTTTTCACTTCAGTTTAGCACCTTGTCTGAAATATTCCTTTTGAATAGGAGCTTTGCCAGAGGAGGTGTGTGATACTAACTCTAGCAGGAAGCATACCCTTTCCAGAGTCATTTTAGGAATGGGACCTGAACTAAGTGAGCACATTAAAATACACCTTTTTGGAGGTGTTTTCAGTTTTATCCCTTTTCAGGGATAGCACCCATCAGCTCAGAGCTCCTTGGCCGTCCTAGTTTTCTTCCCTGTTAATTCTCCACGTCAGCCAAATAGAGCTTTCCCGCCTTGCTTCAAAGTGAATCATTTCCAGGACCTTTTCATTGACTACAATTGCCTTCAAAAAAACAGTGGAATATCCTCGCTCACTGAAAAAACACATAGGCAGTCAATCTGCAATGTCAAACATTTTCCATTTTCTCTCCTCTAGCTGAAGCACTGGTTGCACACAGCTGTCATGATTACAGACAGTTTAGGACTACCAAGCATTCATGATTTTAAACGTCATTCACTACTTGCGTAACAGCCTCATCAGCACAATTACTTTGTGTTGCAGAGAATTGATTCCTGTTATGGTAGCACCTTTGCTGACGAAAGTCATGTAGCTGACCTACTTCTTCCCCTCAGAAAAACATTCAGAACTTTGTTTACTCATTCAGCACTCGCCATACAGTGATGTAGGTGTGCAAGCAGAGCTTCAAAGATACAAGGGGTAAGTCTTCATTTCGGCTTCCCGTATTTGCTTCTTCAAACTGATTCACATTTGTAACAGTCCTGCATTTTGTTAGAAGAGAAGCCTTGTGATATACTTATCCTGCACCTCTCCCTAGACAACCCTTTTGGTCACTGAGAGACAGAGAGCTAGACGAACATCTGAAATAACCTAGTGCGGCCATCCCTCAGTCTCAACACGTTGTGGGTGCACTCAGATTTCTTTCCATTTTACACAATAATTGGGTAAAGTAACCAGCCTGAAACACTAAAAAAAGTTTTAAAGTTTCTGGTTTAATTTCTCTAGTGCTGCATAGAGCTACATACAAGCAAAAAGAATGAAAGAAAAGCAGATGAAGAAGAGATAGAAAAGGACAGATTTTACACAAGCCAACAGCAAAGCTTATTTCAATCACGTTAGCTGGTGAAGCTTGCAGACCTATTGATGCAAAATAAAGGAATGAACTGTGCATACCTACTTGTGTCTGTCTGCTGGCCAGTCTGTGAGCTTCAAAAGGCAATTAACTGCTAGCAGCCAGGACACCTCTGTTCGCATGCAGTGATTTTTCTTTCTTGGGCCTCTGCCACCGGTTCGGATAGGAAAACTAACATCAAGTCAGAAATCTGTGCCAGGGTAGAGGTGTTCCCTATCCCTCTCTCTGTCTCATGTGCCTTGGGTGGCTCTGCAGCATCAAGAGACACTGATGGGAAAACCCAACGAAGGACAGCAAATGCATACAGTTCCTTATGTAGACACCCCTTGGAGCTGGGCAGGAAGGAGGCCTTTCTGGGCAGTTCAATTCACTCTCCAAGGGACATCTGAACTAGCCAGATGATTTCCAGCCCAGCAGTATCTTTTTCTGCCTGAGGGCTGTGAACAGGGCCCGTGGTGAATGACTCGGGTGAGGAGAGCCTGCAGAGTGACCATGAAGGTGAGGAGAGGAAGGTCCTTCCTTCTGTAGTCACCATCTCCATGGGTCCTGCACACTCCACTTTGGTGTGCATTCCTGTTTGGGGATTTGCTTTGCTATACCTTGGCTCTGCCTGCCATCTTCAAATCCTCAGTAGCTGTGACTTCTATTTGACTTTGCCAGCTTGTTTTCTCACTAAAAAATGTTGATTTAAAGAACTCTAGACAGTTTTTTCAAGTGTGAGTGGGTGGGCATGGATAAAAGCGTGCACTGAGAGACCTCAAGCGTTTGCTTAATGTTAGTTCCCAGGATAGCCATTGTCCCTGAGGACTTACTGATGGTGACAGATCCTCAGGTCATTACTCTTTGAGCGATGAGCAGCTAGCTGATTTATAACGTCAACTGGCCAGAGCAACTGCATGACCCAGTGCCTTGGCTTAACATGCTGTTGGGAATGGTGTGCCGATCACATACAGCAATTAATTAGTGGCTTTTGCAGTGGACACCAGGCCTAACGAGAGCAAGTGAGCAAGTTCAGCCCTTCATGCTTCATCTCTTTAGGGTTAGGCTGCTGTTAGTATGGGTTTCCTGCACCATCACCACTGGTTTTCTCCATGCCAGCACGCAGATCATTTTAACAGAGACTCAGGCAGTTCCCAGGAGTTTCAGCTGCTGTACCTTTCCAGGCCGGATTTCCAAATCTGCTTTTGCAGCAAAGGATCCCACAGTACTCTCTCACACACACACACACACGCCCTTACTAAGAGATTTCTGTTCACCATTTTTCCTGCAAAACCAAACATGACCCTGGTACGCTGTTGCAGTGGAAGTTCAGCAGGACCGCTGATCTGTGCCTGCTTCACTGGCATAGCCCCAACAGAGAGATGTGGGAGGGTGAGGCAGGAGCAATAAGCCATTATCCATCTGAGCCTGCTCCTCTGAAATACCCACATGGCCCCTTGCGCTCTGTGTTGGGCACATCGGCACATGTCCTTGCAGAAGGAAAAGCCTTTTGGTGAGTACGTGTGGCTTGGTGAGAGCTCTGCCCTGGAAGACCCCTGATTGGCAGCCTAATTTCTGTCCCTGCGGATGATTTCCCACAGCATTAACTAGGCTACACTTCTCAGTGTGGATGCATTTTCATTCTTTCTGCCAATGAGACTTCCCTGAGGGCTCCGTTAACCTGGTGGATGCACCTGGTTGTTGCACCATGTTTTGCAGTGCAATATTATCGTGATCACACTGTGCTTACATCTGGGCTATAGTGCCAAACCTTCCTCAGCAAAGACCTTCAGTAGACTTGTCAATTTGCTGCTCATATCACAACCAATATCCTATCATATCCAAGTCATACTAGTGAGTCTATTGTAAGTGTGAGATAATGAAATTTAATGAATGACTAATTTTTACCTGCTTGGATAATCCTACTCATTGCAGAAGTGTACTTGGAGAAGTTTCTTTCTAGGCAATCCTCCTTTAGCAGGGGGTTTGGACTAGATGGTCTCTAGAGGTCCCTTCCAACTCTGACAATTCTGTGATTCCATGAAATCTCTAAGGAGGCGTGTTTCTCCACCATTTTTTTCTTCCCTTGCAGCACAATCTGCACAATTGCTCTTTCCTGCCAAGCCCTGAGTTCCCATTTTGTTCCCAGCAGTGCTCTTAGAGGCTTTTTACTGTGCTCTTGCTCAGCTGAAGCAGGGAAGCATTTGAGCTGCTGTGCCAAGCATTAAAGACACCCAGGAGAAAGCAGCCACGCTTGCCTGGAGACCAGGAGCTTCTCCTGCATCTTGCAAAGAGCAGCAGGCTCTAATTCAGGTATAGATCAGGGCAGGAGTGATCTGTGACTTGCTTTTAGTGTTGCAGACACTTTTCCTGAGCGTGATCCATGGGACCTGCTTGTGGGGATGCTGGCTAATAGTGAAAGTGCCCGGTGATCTGGCTGCATGTTGCATCAGCAGCTGGAGCCTGTGTCAGATTAAGTAGGGTAGCCGGTGGGTGCCCACCTTCCTGAGCTACTCTGTGCCCCACTGGTACTGAAGGATTGGCAGCAGCAGAGACATGGTGATGCAAAGAGCAGGAGGTGTCTGAGTCAGACCAATTTGGTGGTCAGCTAATAAGTGTACCCCTTCCTATGTCCTAAGAGTGGAGAGAAAGACCAAATCCACAGTTGTAGCTATGTAAAGGGAAACACGGAATATTTTCAGTATTCAGAAGGGCGAGTGGCCTGTGTGAAGCCGCGTATCTGCTAAAAAGTGTAAGCAGTCACTTGCAGCTGTGAAGTGTAACTAACACACAAAAGCTGCGTGCTGTGTTCCTGTCAGAATTGTTAGTGACTACTGTCTCATCCGCGGGTTGCTAAGATGCCAAATTTCCTGGGAAACAGAGAGATACACAGCTATAAAATAAAGACAGTGGGGAACTCACAGATTGTGTCTTAGCTCTTTTATTACACTGAAAACCTGCACAGTACTAGCCTACTGAAAGAATAAAAGCTGCAAGTAACTTTTCATCAGAAACAAGTCAATCCAAGGTAAAAACAACGTAGAAATGGTAGCTGCTGTCAACTATAAAGTCTGAGTTGTGACCTTCAGCTGTTGTTTCCCTTCGGAGTAGGTCCAAAGATCACAAGGTTCTTGATAGAAGTCTCTCGTTTAACAAACTGTGGGGTGAAGAGCAGAAACAGATTAAGAGACATGTTTTCTCCATGTATTACACAAGATGCTAGGAAGTGATTTGCTTACATGTAGGACATGAAAAGGCAATTTTTTAGCAATTGCTTTCCTTGTCAACCCCTATCTGTACATGTGTTTCCTGATTCAGATCAGTAAAAACAAATGACGACAAATTATTTCCAGTACAAAATACACTGTGGGGCAGGTTGGAATTGGCTGAGGCTATTGGTTATCTGCATTAGATATACTGAAAGGTCAATCTTAATTTAAAAAAAACCCAGACAACAGAAGTAGGGGATCAGGAATTTCAGTAAGCTTCATTCCCCAGTTCCAAAGCAAAGCCTTCTATCTCTTATGTGATAAAGTAGATGCAAGTTTGGTAGCTGCACCTCTACTATCCCACTGACTGAGGGCTTGAGCTCACACCTGAGCCCTGGTTACCTCTGTGGCCACAACGCCTCAGATGCACCACCAACGCCCAGCCCCATGTGCAAGAAGAAGGTCGGTTTTAGGGTTTAGCCAGCTCTTTCCTCACCACACCGTGGCTAAGGCAGCTCTGCACTGGGAAGGGGTGGAGGGAGACCCCATCCCACTCACTCCCTTGAGCTTGACCTCTGGCTGCACCAAGCTGGTGCACGCCAAGCCCCAGCACAGCACAGATCCTGCCAGAAGTTGGGGTGCCTCTGTGCGGATGCAGGGCACGATGCCTGGTGCAAGACATTACCTGCCTCCACCGTTCGGTGATAGAAGCACCAGGGGACACCAGCGGGATGAGGCCTGAAGCAGCACCCCTTCCTTTCACACTCATTCCTCGTGATGCCAGGGAAGCCACAGTTTACCCTGATGTGAGCTCCATCCGGGCACACTCTCCTAACTGCAGAAAGGAAAAAAACGAAAGCAGGAAGGAGGCTGTGTTATTTCATGCTCTATTTACCTGGAGGCATAATTCACAAATTAAAGGCAAGCCACAAAGATGAGGTCAGCGAACAGACACGAAGTCGTGATGACCTTCTCCACAACAATTTCAGGCAGCAGGTTCACCCAAATCCTTACTATGCATGGCAGGCAGAACTGAATTCCAAGGTGAGAGGGAATCAGTGCTCTGTCCCATGGGTCAGAGTGGGCAAAATTCACCCCTAAAAGTGTCTGGTAAGCAGCAACACAGCTTTGCCTTTCCTAGAGCCAGCAATGGGGTGAAGAGCCATGTGTCTCCCATACTGGTATCACAGACTCTGTTCTAGGACCAGGGTGTACTCACAACCTGACCCAATGCTAAACCCAGAGCAGCCTGGATAATGCAGGAAGAGGAAAGTCATCCTCTTCTGCATGCCGACTCTAATTATGGAAAGGAGGTAGGTGATTTAGAAGGAAATCATGGTTCATCCAAGCAATTTAGAGTGAAATCACAGGTAAAGAGGTTGTACCACCCAGCCTGAATAATTCGGTTTTCCTCATCCAAAATGGTTCCGCTCAGAAAAGCAGTTCTAAGAAAATGTATGGTGCTGCCATTTGTTTTTCGGAATTTGCATGAAATGCAGTATTCAGAAGCAAAATAAGTTGTTTTCCTCTGACAATTCTGAACCCTGTTGACCAATCTTGACTGACACCAAGTTCTTTCATTGGGTAGTCTTGCCTTTGCTCCCTCGTTTCCTTTCATTTCACCTGCGCAACCACTGAGATTTCCCTGATGTTCTCTTAAGAAGGAGCTGGGCAGTCAGCCCAGCAAAAGTAGTTTATGTCCAGCAATGATGCGCAATACACGCTCAGTCCTTGAAGGACCAGGAGAGCAACTCTTACCTTCTCCAACAAAACAAAGGCAAACCATGGAAGCAGGAGTTTAGAAGCTTTAGAAGGAAGATTCTAATGGAGGAAAAGGATTTACATTAGGATATTTTGGACATTTCATTAAATGAAGGCTGGGAGCAAAAATAGGAGAGAAAATGAGAACCACCAAGTGGAATTACGCTGGGAATCAGGAAGGAAACCACTATTATCAAAACAGGCTGGAAAGAACAGCAAAAGCTTTACAGCATGTCTGTTGTCTTTTGTACAGGTGTCAAGCAACTACACGTGGGCTCACCTACTCAGGACTTCCTGATCTCTTTGATATGCAGTACTAAAGTCCTCCTGAGCCACATAGAAAACCCATTTAAACTGCTGAGGATCCCTTGCTTCACTGATGAACAAGATCACAGCAGGCAGTGAAATGTTTTTAAATAATCAGCATGGATTATTTGATCACCAGAAGCCTGAAGTAAGAGGAAAGATCTGATGTGAAGAGGATGAGATAGAAGACTGTTGCGCAAACAAGGTTTCACTTTGCATTTTACTACCACTGGTCATCTAATAGAGATCTGTGCTCACTTGGCTGGCCTAAGAAGAAAAGCAGAGCTGCTCCCCTTTGTACACATTTCTGCATAATCAGTGCTTCTGACAAGAGATATTACCTTTCTTTTCTTTAGGAGCAAAGCACCAGGGCTTGTTGCGGATTGAATTGTTGAAGCAGCATCCAGCGTTCCTGCACTCCTCTTCTGTGATTCCTGGGTAGCCGCAGTTCTTCCTCTCCCGGGGGGGCACTTTACATTGACATTTTGCTGTTTAGGACAGAAGTAGCAAGTTGCTGGGTATCAGTTTGCAAACTTATTTGCAGATGTGCATTTATCAGACGCCCACTGGAATCAATGATTTCTGCCTAGACCCTGTCCATCTTTACAAGTGTACCTTTTTGGTCGCTTGCTAAGACCAGGACTTGTGCAGTTTAGAAGCTGCTTTTAAACAGTCACCAATTTCAGTAAGGGTTGTACTCCACCTTTTGGGAAACTGTGGTCTCGTTTGCAGCCAAGTGAGCCCAGCGCAGTGGGGTCTGTGGCATTCAAATAGACCACATCAAATGGTAAAAGCACATAATTTCAAATGTTGTGCTAGTAAACATTTGTTGCTTTGCCCATCTCACGAGAAGAAAGAAAGAGTTAAGTCTCCGGTGGACATTCAAACAAGTGTCAAGATACAAAATCTTTGCATTCTTGTTAAGTGACTGTAAAAACACAGGATTATGTGCAAATAGTTGTGGCTATAATTTTAATATTTTTAAGTCTACTGCACAGTCATCAGCAACTGAGAAATCCTGGAGGTGTCCCTAAGTGTCTGCCATTGAGTTACTTGCTTTCCACTTCTTAAGTTATCTAAATGACCTGTCTTTTATGGAGTAGGCAGATAAACTCCTCTGAAATTGTATTCTTGTGGCAAAGTACCATGAAATAAATGTCAGAAGACTGTCTAGACACTTTTAGCACCTGTTCCAGTCCTGGTCCTGTTCTAGCAAGCTCTTGGGCATGTCTGTCCCTCTCCCTTTGCAGCAGGTTTCCAGTTACTCCACCAACACAGGAGTTCACCTACAGTCTTTTTTTTTTATTATTTTACCATAGATTTCTCTGAAAAGTAGATTCCAGCTTTGGTAATAGTACCAGAGCAAGACATTCGCTGTCTGATACATAAACCAGAGACGCACTCTTGCTGCAATTAGAGCCAGTAGACGACAAACATACCTGTGAGGACAACGGCAGGTGAATGTACTTACATGGTACCTCCTTTCCCTCTGCCAAGGTGCTGAGGGCTGCAACAAAGACGACGGAGAGCACGCAGATCAGTTTGAGATCCATGGCTCCTGGAAGGTAGGTGCAGGAGAGGTGCCGCTTTCCCCAGGAGCAGCTCATTTTATACCGTCCTTGTGTTTGCCTGGCAAGGTCTGATAACATTGTTCCATTCAATGCTTCACCCAGAGGTTAGGTTCTCTTGTGTTTAATTAGGAAATGTGGCCATGCATATTTTGATATCCCAGAGATAAATTTCTAGTCTCCTGTGAGCTATTGATCAGGTTTCTATTACATACCTGCAGATACATATCTATTACATGATCTCATAACCTTTTAAATAGATGCTGCTGGGTGCGTCTGGCAGCTCCAGCTGATTTCATTGCCATGAGAGTACTTCAGGCTTTAAATGGTTGTAATTACCGAAAAATATGTACATATATTTCCCATCCAAGTCTATATTTTCCTCCTCATTTTTTCCCTGGCCTTAAAGATTTGGTTATGCTTACTCTGAAACAGGTAAGGAGGGACCTCTGGGGGTGTGACACCTCCAGGTTTCAGGACACCACAGGGTAATCTGCACACCTGAAGAAATACATAAACACAGAAAGTGGAAGGTGTGACTGGGAAATACAGAGCCTGGGTGAGGCCACGATTTATTTCCACATGTGATGATTTTTGCACCAGTTTGGAATAAGAAAAAAAGCTAAGACCAGGAAAAAATGGAAAAAAAGAAAAACCAAACCAACAAAACAGAACAAATAAACAAAACAAAACCAAAAAGAAAGCAAAAAAACCCCATCAAAATTACAAACCAAGAGGGATTACAACATAAAGAGACTGAAGAAAGGAAAAAAGAGTTTATATATGATCTCAGCCTGAATCAGAGGCACTATGCTCATCCAGGGGTGAGATGTAAGTGCTCCAGTTGATATTTGGCAGTTGCTGTCCCATGCAAGGAGGAAAGTCAAGGCTCCCCCTCCCAGCCTCTGGATCCTGTCCCCAGGCCCCCATGGTGGGGCATGCCCCCATCCCCTCTGCATGGTCCCCAGAGCAGCCTATTGCTTCACAACCTGCCCAACACCACAGGCACTGATTTGCCAAGAACAAGTTTCTGAAGCACCATGTTTAATATACTAATTTCCTGGTTGCTTTTCTCCTGGTTTCAAAGGTGGCCTCTAATTATAGAATCATAGAACAATTCAGGTTGGAAAAGACCCTTGGGATCATCGAGTCCAACCATTAACCCTACACTACAAGTTCACCCCTAAACCATATCACCCAACACCACATCTAAGCGACACTTGAACACATCCAGGGATGGCGACTCAACCACCTCCCTAGGCAGTCTGTTCCAGTGTCTGACCACTCTTTCTGTGAAGAATTTCTTCCTAATGTCCAGCCTAAACTTGCCCTGTTGCAACGTGAAACCATTCCCCCTGGTTCTGTCCTAATTACCTGTGAGAAGAGACCAGCACCAATCTCTCTGCAATGTCCTTTCAAGTAATTGTAGAGCATGATGAGATCCCCCCTCAGCCTCCTCTTCAAAGAACCCCCGTGGTGCTCTGAAGTATCCCTTTTCCCTTGGGAAAAGCATCAGGGATTTTTTTTCGGTTCATCACCAGGAAAGACATTCACTGCATTTTTTGATGGAAATGTGTATTCATGCCTTTGATTTTTACATAAGAGTTTGTTTTGTGCCTCTTTCCTTGACAAAATTCGAAGTGAGAACTTCAAACTTCTGTAGCTGTGTGTGTCAAAAAATATTTTGAACCCTGTGGAGGGATTTTGGTCTACAAGGGAAAAATGATAAAGCTCATTTTCCTGCTTTTTAACTTATTTAACACTTTACATACTTTATTTACGTCCATACTTATTTAATATATTGATGGCACTTCTCATTGAATGCCGTGATTTGCAAAGCAGACGATTTGTGTGTCCTTCATTTCACAAGATAAACTGCAGGCTAAAAAGAACTGTGTTCCAGTGCCCAGCAGTTCATATCACGCCTTTTACCCTTGTCACCGGCAGAAAACGTCTAACTTAAAATATAAAAATCCAGTTTTCTCTTTACGTGCAACATCAACAGTACTCCCAAAGGCCCATTGTGACGCCTGCTCCAGTGAAGTCCTTAGTAATTTTTCACCTTTTTTCTCACAGTGCAGGGGATGAGAATGACCAAAGTGTTGCCCATGTGTGAGATCTCCATGGAGCTCTCAGTAACCTATCGGTCCATCGTGTGAGTCAGGTGAAACTGCTGATAACATTCATCCCTCCTGCTTCTTACTGGACATTAATTAAGTCCTTATCTGCTGGCTGTCACCTCTTGGGCCCAATCCCAACTGCATGCACAAAGGCAACTCCACCACCAAGCTTTCGGTGCGGAAAGAGCATTTGATTGGCATCTGAAAACAAACACACCAAAAGGAATAAATTTCTTGCTCTCTGCCAGCAGATTACTTTAAGATCTTTAATATGTTTATATAGCAAAGCTTTGAAAATTATCTGGGGTTTCCCTATACATGTGCCTCCTTCCCTGAGGCCAACATCTGCACAGATCTTTCGCTAACGCAGCGTAGGGCATCCAGGCTCTGCGAGTCCCCATGGCCAGAAGGGGCTTGGAGGGCTCCTTCCTCCTCTCCAGCCTCTGTGTCCTCCCTCACCACTGTCCTCTAGTCCCACAGGGCTTTTAGCTGAGCTGGGGTGGTCTCATTTTCTTTCCAGCAAGGGAATGGAGAAATCACCACAGCTCCTATGGACCTTCTTGCTGCAAGTCAGTAACAAGCCGCAACTTTTTATTCTGATATTGCAAAACTTTTAAAGGATGTGGGTATTTTTTTTCTTATTTTTCCTTTTTTTTTTTTCACTTAAACCCAAAGAGTCAGCAAACAACTGTACAACTTAGTTTTTCACCCTATAAGGAGGTTTGCATTCTAAAGGGAATTTCCTTTTGTAGTAACAGTATGAGTGCTGACCTGAGAAATCTGTCATTGGGCCAGCACCACCGCATGTGAGCTCACAAAATAAACCCCAAGTTTTGAGTGCTCCCTAAAATAAGTCATCATAAAAGAGAAAAAAAATCAGATACAAAGGAGCAGAGAGTCTTCAGCAATTCTTTTCCTTCCAGCTGTGTGAGGGGTGCTCAGCAGATGTGACTCAGGAGTGGGAATAGCCTGACACCATCACTTAGGTGAACCTTACTACATGCTATTCACTCACTGCAAGACTGGTTTTCATGAGGGTGTTTCTAGAAACCGTAGCGATGAGGAGTACTCTCCTCCCTTATTGCTAGGCTTACTGTTTACCTCGTTTCACAGAATCACAGAATCACAG